TGGAACCGAACTACGAATTTTTGAAAAATGTAGCTCACTAATGTGCGCACGCCCCGTCTACAGTGGGTGGGGCTTAGCTCAGTTCATGTGTGTTCCGTACATCTTGGCCCATGCCCTACCCAACCCACCCTTGACCCGCCCCCTCCAACTGGCTCTTCAGGTGATTCCGAATTTCCGACAGACAGACAGACAAACAGACAAACAGACAGACGTTGCCGTTTATATATAGTAGGATGATTGTGTTGTTACCCTAGAGCGCCGCACTTTGGAGACCTCAGTAAGGGGGAACGTATGTGACTTTGTGAAAAATCGGCTTTCGGCTGTTGATGTTTCGTTTTATCCACACGAAGAGGTCATATATTGAATATTTTTCCCCAACTGCAGGGCCTGCCCTGATTTTTTATGCAAAAGCACATGGTGGTAGGGAATCGCATCTGTTGGTGTACAGATGCGGTGGACTGGTAGCATACGCAAGTAACATACGCAAGTGGAAATCAGCTGTTTTGAAGAAGGAACTGGCCATACACGGGCTTCAGTCTTCACAGCGTTGAAGAGAAGTTAGAGGCCGTGCACATGTTTTGCGTGGGTGGAATTGACATTCTTCTATAGAGGTATAGTGGCATCCCCCATCCCCACCTCCGTACAAAAGAGTACATAAGTCCATATGCTGGGTGCAGTACCAGGGCATATAGTACGCATGAAACAGGAAAATCACCAAATGAGAGAGAGGAGAAGAGATTATGGTGTCAGACACTCTCCTGTCCCGTCGGTATAAGTCCCTTTATTCCTCCCAATTCCTTGCGTTTATATAACGTTTACCACTAATCTCCAAAATTTCCTCAAAATAACCGTATTCGAGTTCGAACGGTAGGAGGGGAGCGATATGGGAGCAGGGCACATGCATGGCTTGGGATTTTAGCGCAGTCCTGTACCCACACCTCCCCCACCTTTTTTGGCGAGTTGGTGGGCGGCGGCAATACAGTACGAAATTGTACATGGAAATCACCAAAGATTAAAGCCACACTCCTAAACGCCTCCAAACGTAAATACGGAACCGCCCTCAGAAAAATGACTCAAGTAGGACACGCCGCTCCCCGTTACAACGTCATGAAGGCGATGAAAATCAACTTATCAAAATAATTTTTTCTTAAATAGCCAATACGACCCGTCCGTCTAATCAAACTGGCGGCCATTTACGGCCCGCGTCACACCCCCATTTGGGCCCCAAAGCGATAGTCCGTGAATGGAAAGGGTAGGGGTATAAAACAAATGAAACGGAGAAATACCCGTGGAAAGCCCCAAACAAGTGCGACCCTCTGATGGCGTTCTCGCAACGATGCGTAGGTGATGTAATAATATGATGTGCTGTGGGAACAATCCAATCTCCCAGCCATGGCTTTCCCAGCGACCGCACTATCAAATTTCCCTCACCTAGTATGACCCCCTTCCCTATCTTACCTGCTATCAGTTTTCCGAAGCTTTTCCGCATTTTCCAAAGAAAAAACTGGCGTAGATCATAGAGAGGGGCTCGTCACCAATCCGCCAATGGTTTCAACTACCAGAACTAGTAGTTGCATAGTAGTTCTGCGAGGCTAGCATCTTTCAGGAGGTTGGAAGAGGGGAGAGGGTGGCGCGTATAAAGTACAAACGCTATGGAAAGCCAATAATCGAAAAAATTCTTTTGTGGTTTGGAAAAAATTTCCTCTAGCCAAATAAGGTTCCTCTCCCGCGACCATTTCCGCAAATGTGATTCTCCAAATGATGGTGAATCCTGGGTTAGAAGGTGTACGTATGTATCACAGTCAATCGTGAAAAATTCTTTATTCATGTTTTATAGGGTCATAAGGTTGCTGAAATAAAATATTTTTTATCCATCCGAGAATAAATACACCTAATCGTAAATCATTGAGATTATTGGTACGATTCATGCCTACTGTAGATGGGTTCACACCAACGTGAAGCACATTTCGTACTTTAGCGTACAGCTGATGACGTCGCAGTTGAGTAAAAACCACTAATCACATCCATTCTTCCCACGCATTGCTGGTTCTCAGCCAGGATAGTTGTCAATCTCGTGCGCTTTTTGCAAACTACTTTATGTGGAAATTTGAACCAAGGGCGCAGTGTATCAATCTCATTCTCACCATGTGACCATTTACTGCAATGGTGCAGTGCACTACTGGATGATATATATAGTTGTGTGAGCGTAACGTCGTTTGAAACATTTGATTGATCATTAACTGTGCGCCTTTTTTTTCTACTAAATTGTTTTTTGTTTGTAAGGTCTGCGCACGTGGGAGACGTTGTACGGCCACGGTACCTGGTGGGAAAAGTGTAAGTTTATGTATCACCGGTAGCTAATCGTCGCCCCAATCCAACAACTCTTTTCACTTGCCAGTGTGAAAGCTGTGCCGAAAATGCGAAGCGAGCACTGAATCCAGTGACTTATCCCTATTCCTCTTATAAGGCCCTATCAGTTGTTTACACCTTCTGTCACCCACACGCACAGGCGCAAAACGCCTTTCAGCTGTGAGCTAACTTCAAATAGCACGTCGAGCTGGAAAGCTGCAAAGGCTACTTACCGTAGTGAGCCGCCGAGAAGCATCCTGTTGTGAAACGAATCTGTAACCGTCCTCCATCACTGAGGACTGATCGTGAGCGCGTGAGCAGCGCGTTTCGAGTCCGCGTTTCGCTCCCTTGCTTCTACATGGCAGATGGGTAGAATTGATTTTAGGAAGGAGACAACCAATGATGGAAACGCTGGCGGTGATATTAAGTGTACGTGTATATGCCTGATAGCAGGCGTTAGAAGCGGAATGTCACAATATTCATGACGTCGGTCAAAGCATGGTGCGAAAATGTGTTGAACTCCATTTGAAAGTCGAAAGTTGTTTAATGAAAAGTGATCTCTTAAAAGTGTTCCTGTTCAAGAACAATCCAATTCAACAGCAGTCCACAAGAACAAACTGCACCAAGGGAAGTCTTTCAGGTCGTGTCGCGCTTTTTGAAAATGGTTTGTTGCTTGTTGTAGGGGTCCACACAAGGATTCAAAAATGGGTTTTTTGCTATGCGCTTCTGGGAGTCAAAAACTGAGTGAAAACAATTTGACAACAAAGGCGCAATTTTAACCGTTCTTATTGGGCTCTGTTGTAGCTGTAACTTTGAGAGTGCTTAGTTGATGAGGTGTTCCTTCACTATGTATCGAAAAGAGAGCAAAATAAAGTCAAAAAGAAAAGTGGCAGTGGAGAAAAGTAAGCCCGGAAGTTTACTTGAACGACTCCGGCGACCAGTGCTGTTGTGGGTCGCGATGGGCGATGGTATAAGCACGAGCTCGCTCTTATCAGAGAAAGGTTTGCGGATCGGATCCTCTTGGCGCCTCATTCTATACACTCATAGTTCACGAGTCGACCCTACGTTAACTATTGCGCTCTCGAAACATTACTGAGGAAACTCTTGCTGAAAGTTGGGCTCCGGGGATGACTGGATACCCTACTCACGAGCACGACACTGCGTTTTATTCATTTTTACCATGGTGCAGCCTATCGCACGATTTGCTGAAGAGCAATTCTGTACGAATTCTGTCACGCACGCATGCATGGGCTGTTTGGGCTCAGCTCGAGGGAAAAATTTCGCTGAAGAGCTCTGTATATAGAAGGTTATTGATGTGCCGCTGATTACGGTTCTGACAATTCATAATGGCTCCTAGGTCGTTGCGAACCATGGCTCCTGATACCCGGCCCTAACTGCGGGTCGGGATGTCTGCGAGTATGCACTTGCAGAAACTATCAAATGCTGCTCACTGTGTGCCAAAACACTCTTCTTGTACCTTGACTTGTATTTGTTTTTTCGATGCAGTTCGACGACGGTCTCAATTTGCTGATGCCATCAGCTCAACATTAGAGAGAGAAAAAAAAGCCTAGAAAATGGTTCAAAATCGCTTTTCCCCAGCAAACTTTTCACCCATTTTTTGACCTCCCCAGAAGCGCATAGCAAAAACGAAACCCATTTTTGTGATCCTTATATGGACCCCTACAACATGCAACAAACCATTTCTGAAAAGCGCGCCACGACCTGAAAGACCTCCCTTGTTAGTGGTGTGTCCTACAGGATTTTAACAGGGTGCTACACAGTGGGGAAAATGGCGAAAAAACTAAGTGAGACGTCAAAAACCTGCGAAGAAAAGCCTTCGTCCTTAATGACTCAAAAAGCGACTGTGAACGAGTTTCCCGTGGGCACCTTGCCAAGGACTGTTACGGTAGGTACGGCTGCTTTTATGTAAACTCCTTATCCCTGAGACGGAGTAGGCGTGGCTTTTGAGCATGGCATAGGACGGGTTTCTCGTGGGATACTTCAATTTGAAACAACTGCTATCTTGTTCTGTGTTAGATGTAGACATGATTACGACTGCTCCAAAATGACAATATCTCACGAAAACCTGGGCCGCCGCCATTTAAAATCAAGTACGCAGCCACGCCTACCCGATCTCAGAGGTTTCGAGTAACTCATATATCCACGCAGCACTGCAGCCGCTTCTTATCAATTCCATCGCCCATCACCTCAATTTTACTTCGCGAATGAAGCAATAGCATCGGGCACGGTCGCCCATTTGTGCGCGGTAGGCGTCCTGGTGAGTATGTTGCAATTTGACAGGGTATAAGGGTACCTTCCTTGCTCAAGAGCGCAGAATTCCGTCCTGCCAGGCATATTGAATCTACTTGTCTTAGGGAGTTATCGCGCCTTTGAAGTCCAAATCGTTCCCTACCTCACCGCAGCGAATTAGAAGCTTCTACCGATACATCGACACATGAACTAGGAAGCAGGCCAGTGGTGCGAAATAGCATGAGGGCTAAACTTAGCGGTCATAGGTTTGGCTGAAAAATGACCTCATCGCAAAATCTTTCAAATCTTAATATTATGCTTGCCTTCCATGGGGCTGATAATCTAGTATCTTTTGTAGTAAATCTAGGAACGCGGTAAATTAATCTAGTGAAATCATACCTTTCAGAATGTTGCTCAAATGGCTAGCCTTGCTGATTTTATGGGACCTCGCCTTTGCTTTCAAATGCTACAAAGGTATGGGATTGTCATCACATTTTTATCGAATCCATCCAAAGTCCAACATCAAAATTAGCTAGAAATATATGAATATCTTCATGAAAATACTGAGAAACTGGCAATGAGTTCCGTTTCAGCATGGTTGGGTCATAATACGGACAGCACTGATCAATTGAACTACCGGTACTACGTCGTTGATATAGGCTGCTCGGACAATGGGAACGAAACGTGTGCACTGTGAGTTATCGTGTTTTCTTGCCGTCTCGGGCTGCGTTCATAATTTGCGGCAGCGTCAGCGTCCGCTAGCGACCATCAGCGTCTCGAGGGACTAGGAAGTATGGGTATCGATCTAGCGTCTACCAGCGTCCACCAGCGACCAGGAGTACGGTGTTGTGTAGTAGTGCGGCGCGGTTGCACACTCGCACAATTTCACTTATATAGTAGTCTCATCTCTCCCACTTCCCTATACTCTACCAGCAGTCTGCTACCCTCCTAATTTCCCATGGTTTCTACTCCTGGTCGCTGGTAAACGCTGATAGTTCCTGCCGTTCGCTAGAAAAATCTATACTTTCCTAGTCGCTAACGCTGACGTACGTTCGAAACGCTGATGGTCTATGGTGGACGCTGTAGCAAGGTCTGGACTGACTCTGCCAATGCTGAGTAAATCGCCTATCAAGGCTGTTCTTACAGGTTCATTTGGAGAACGACCGGTCAAACCAACTACACCGTCGCAAGCATTAACTGCATTCCTATGACTATGGAGTGTTTACATGTTCGTGTTTCTCCTTTAGAAAGATACCCTCTCTCAATAGGCTGCGCTTGGTGTGCTGCTATGCCGATTCCAACTACCCGTGAAAATATGGACCACCTGGATCGAGTTCCCCATCTTCTCGAGCTGCTTCAAAGGCGCAGGGCGTAATAAAAAAATGGTGAGGAGAGAGATAGTGGAAACCGCAACGAACAACCCTGTTCACGTCAGAAAGTTGTAAGGTAGCAGCGGTAAGCCACAAGGTTGTACAAGTGACTCCGCCCACCTTAATAGATATCTCATCGGTCGCCTTGCTCGATTGCGTGCTCTCTCTCTCGCCGCTCTGGTCTGAGTTCTCGCCCAAGAACCAGACTGATTTTTTTTGTCTCCCGCCAAGCACGGATAAAGCCTGATTTCGAGGATTCCCGACTGTTTCCATTGCTTTTACTCCCGAGTTAGTAATCTGGCACTTACCTATCTATTTCTAACCCCTTCTCTTCCCTCTTTCTTACCCCGATACCCACGAACTTCACGCTCATTTTAAGTATGACCTAACACTTTTCACTTATCACCTACAATCATCATTTGGAATAACGTTTGGGAAATCAATTATGGATGCGGTATAGGGTAGGGGAGGAGAACTGTCCATAGTCGCGGTTACCTGGCGTCCTTATCAAGTACTTTTGAGTGGCGAAAGTATACATATACTGAGTATGAGGGCCGAACTACCTTAGGAAAACGTCTGCATTTCCAGACATGCATTTAAAGCGAAGACCGCAGCGACATTATGCCGACTATTGCTAATTTGTGTAGGGTTTATGGCACGCATGTCTCCGTTCATTTGATACGTAGACGCCTACTTTGGAAAATGGTCATCCCTCCCCAGCATAGAGGATGTGATCACTCAGCAGCTAAAAAATCACGAGGTAAGTGTCCACTCGCTCGCAACCATATCACGGCTCCGCCCTGACCACGGCCTGCATAACTTTTATTTCTAAAGGTTTTCTGATTGTACTCTCTCCATTCCGCATAACGAAGTTGGGGTGATAAGGGAAAGGAGCTAATACTACCAAGTGAGAGTTCGCCTTTAAAGAGTGCCTCTAACGAAACACCGCTTGAATGACTCAAACTAGAAAATTTTATACTTTCAGCCAGAACGGGAGTGCTGCAGCTCAACAGAGTGCTCCAAAAGGCAGGCACGAAAATTTGGAGGTCTCGTCAAGCGTTATCAAGCTAAAGTATGGACCTAATCCTATGCGGAATACTGGATGGGAGTTGAGAAAGGAACGATCTTCTAGAAAAGGAATTGCAAAGCGGCCGAAGGCTTGTCACCTCACCATATACGGATACCTAATATCTTCACTATATAATAAACTAGTTTCTCTTATTTCCAAAACACTGTCATTAGCCGCTTGCTGTTTCAGTCATATTTCCATTAAAATGAAACTTTTTTTACAAAACTGGG